TTACAGATGAATTAGACTTTTCCTTTTTGCCAATGACAAACTGGAATGAAATTACTCACGTGAGCAAAACGTCCCTTAATATAGATGAAAATAAAATAGACTTTTCTGCTTTTTTCTTTCCTTTTCGACCGCAAAAAAGCAATAGCAATAATAGTTCGTCTGTGGCAATCGCCTTTGCTACGACTTTGTGGAAATTGTGGTGACGCTTTCTCGTGCCCATTCCAGTTTCTCTTTGTGCTTCAACTCCCGTCATCACGCAATCACTATCGATAGTGCCTCTGTCGGTGAATCACGTTTAAAAGGCGAGAGTAACAAACGGAAAGAACGAAAATGATGGACTAAAAAAGGGGGTAAAAGACAGACATATACAGCAGCAGCAGCAGAAAATAGTGTCGGTCGACGAATCGTGATGCTTGTGAGTGCGGAGCGCGCACACGCTTACAAATCCATCTACTCTTTGGCTCTGCCAATGCACCCTTGAAAACTCAACATGCATTTCTGTAAAGAGCCAACTCATCCGTCTACATGGACAATGCGTCGAGACACCCTACCAGACAGCTTTCTTTTCTTCTCTCACTTTATGCACATGTATGTGTTTGGGTTATTTCGCGTTCACAGTTTCTCTCTACAACTTCATTTCTCTTTTTATTTCTTTTTTCACTTTTCACACCTTTTCTCGACGAATGTTATCGGCTTAGGTGAATTCAATGTACTTTCGCATTCACGCCTTTCTGGTACTGAAATTAAATATTAATGCTCTCTATTGTCAAACTCAACTCCTCATATTTTAATTATTGTTGATAAAGTGAGTTTTTTAATTTGTCACTTTGATTTCACTTTTACTTCACTTGAAATCGACATTTTTTTCACTTTATCACGTTACTCATTATGTGATGAGATTGATTGTGAAAGTGGATGTCGAGGGAAAGTTAAGTAAAAGTGAAAACAAAGTAACCTACCGTGAAATTATAGAATCGCAACCCCTTAAACAGTCATTAAACTAACATTTAGGATAAATATTTTACGTAATCAATTGTGCTATCTCTTTTATATACAATTGATAATTATGAAAAATTGTGTACTTTTTCATGTTTAGAGTCCTAGAATTTTAACTAATTTAAATTTTGAAAATAAAAAAAATTATTTTCTTCTTTTCTAAAAAATACATCATTTCTTTAAATCCACAGAATATAATTGTTATCACAATTATCTGAAACAAGAGAAGAGGAAAAAATATATTGTACAAAAGAAAAGTTTTACAATCTCGAACTCGATAACCTTGTGTATGCGTAAAGCTAAAAGGAAAGGTTGGATGAGAACAGAAACGAGCTTTTGTTTTCGAGGTGCTCGTTAAGACTAAATACTAAAGGTACTTCCTTTTGTTTAATTTTCTTTATTTTCTCTTGACATCATCCGATTTTGTAACTTCTACAAAAGTAAATTGATACGTGTGTATCAACTTTAGATTCAAAAATGTTAGTATTTTATAATAATAGCAGAAAAAGATTTACGACTTATGTATTCTTATAATATTTTTCAAAATATATTGCAGATCAATATAAAACGTTTGTAATTGAATAAATTAAGTAATTTACGATTCATAATAAACATAAACCAATGTCTAAATTGTTAGTATCAATACTTTTTTATAAAATAAACAATCGTCGGTAAAATTATTTATTAAGGACCGTTTTCTATAGCTCAGACTTTCACCTGAAGAAAGGGGGTAAAATGGATAAAGGGAGTTAATCTTAAAATATAAGTTTCACTATTTCCTGTCTCCAGATGTTTCTTCTTCAGTAGCTCGATAAAGTTTTGAAGGTTTTCTAACTCGTCCTTTATCGTTCGGTCAATGCTCCTTGGACGTGATGTAGGACTTTAGCATCGAGTGAACCGCCTGTTCGATTTTTGTTAGTAACACTGTCCCCTTCTTCCTCAGCCTAATGCACTTGTAGATCTCTTCATTTATGACCTCTAAACTTATTTCTGATCTGGACCAGATAACATTTGTAACTCTAGACTCTGGATGTGCTTCCTCTTTCAATCCTTTTTTCGAACAGAACGATTTGTAATTAACTAAAATGTATTTATCAATTTCACTTTTGAAAATTTCTTTAAAAACAGGTGTTTACATTTCTTGACAAATAAAAATTACTAAATTTTTAAACAGTTTACTGATCGTATTTCTTTGAAGAATCTTCTAATGTACACATGTGACAAACATCTTTTTCATGCTTTCTATTTGTCCGTAAATCAATACGACTTTGAAATAAATTTAGTTGGTACATTCACGACATCTTCAAATATTTGCCTTTCGAGATTGGAAAGTACATCATTTGAAACTCTGTGCTGTTTTTATAAATAATATAAAAATATATAGTTGATATTTTTGCAGAATTCCAATTTTTAATTTAACATATTCTGTTATTTCTGTGATTTAATAACTTAAAAAGTGGTTAAAGTGATTGCAGATTCTAGTTGAAAAAATCCAAAACAGTTTTCAAAAATAATTGTAAATTAATATTTGTTTTGATATTCATTTTTAAATTCTACTTATTCGTGTTAATCGTTTGTTTACAAAGTTAAGAAAACTTTCGTTTGGGAGTTCCCCTTTTGTCATTAGTATTGTTTGAACACTTTTGGGTTTATTATGTCTGGCAACCTTGGTGAAGTACCCTTTTGTTCTGTCTGTATGAGCGCTTTTGGATATAAATTTTCTTATTGCGCCCCTTCCATTTCAACTTAAAAAAACCTTTGGGAAAAATATGCTGGGTCACTGTCTTTTCACCTTCTGACCGGAGAAGAACTGCTTCGTTCTGTAATTCACTTTTAGTAGCCTATCTTTTTTTTAGACAAGTGCTTCCTGCTCATCGTACAACTAGAAAATATTTCTGCATACATATTAATAAATATTTTTTCTGTATGGACAGGATGATTGCGTCAAAAAAATTAATTAACTGTACGGAGCAAGAAAAACTTGGATGTTGCTAGTTAAAAAAATTGAAGCAAATTTAAAATACTTCATTTTATCAGGCGAGAGAATCACATTGCATACTGAGTTCCCCTTTGAACATCATCAACACTCGACCCTTCGTATATAGAGTGCACTTCCCTACGCTCAGTTGGAAACATTTTCAATCCCTGCAAAGCTAGATGTGTTGACAGATACAGCTTTCAGACCAAATAAGTACATATCGAATGAAAACTTTATCTAAAATATTTCTTTTTTTGCGTAAGATGTATTTAATTTTACTTTGCCTGTGCAGAATATAAGGTGACTCTTATTTTGAGGATAAAATGAAGTGCAAGTGGAATAGGAGAATCTGAAAGAGATTCTTATTAATAAAAAATTATCTTGGAGAGAAAAAAAAGAGTACAAAAATGTTGTAATTTCAATTTTAATATAATTCCCAATTTAAAAGCGTCTGGAGTCGAAGAAGAGTCTCGAAATGGTTAAAAAGAGGGATGACTATTGTTGGCGAGGCTCACAATATAAAATAATGAGTCGCTCGATTCAAATTGTCAAAAAGAGAAGGGAAGGGGACAGCACGAAACTGACGGAAGGAAAAAATGACGGCGAAGGCAGGATAATATAAAAGCTAGAAGCATTCACCTCGATCTAAATATAATAAATTTCATTCACGAAGTCCCCTGTATCATATTTTAGTAAAAATGGATAGTTACACGAATTTCACATTTGCTCCACATATTATTTAGTCAATTTATATATTGATACGTTATATCTGTAACGTCTTACTTCTTCTATTTCTCATCTTCTTGAATTAATGCTTTCATAATAAATTTCTACTCTGCATAATTTATCTCAATATATTTTTATCTCTTTTCTGTAATAAATTTGAAATTACTGTCCTTCTTGGAGAAACAATTATTTTCGTATCAAGGTGCTTTTCAAGATGGTCGGTAATAGTTTTTTTGGACAGATGATAAACATCTCCAGGATGCGGATGCCTACCAAGAATTCTGGAGTAATTGAAATTCCTATCCGATTATATATAACAGGGAAGCACAGTGTATGATGATTGTGGGGGTCTGAGTGGCTTCGATTAATTACAAATTAATACAATTAGTAAGCAACCGATAATTGGAGACTACACTTGGACCTCTGTTGGCCAATCTTCCGATAACTATTTTAATTATACCTGTACTTAATTGCAAAAGAATAAATAAGAATAAATTCTCATTGTGACTAGCTCAGATTTTAAAATGTTACAATTCATTTCAAGTGAATCGTATTTGTAATAACAAAATATGCACTAACTCTGTAATGATCAAAGAGCTTAATTTCTTACTAAGAACACACGCCTAGACGTTAATAGGCGATTATACAACTCTCCTTCAAAGTTTCTCGAGAATTGTTAATGATTCTAAGCCCGCATTGAATTGTAATTCAAGATCTATCAACAGGGATTTTGTGGTTTACTGTTAGAGAATTTTCGAAATCTTCTAACCACTACGCCATTAGGACCCCCATACTATGACAATTAAATTAGTTACAAGTACTACATATGGCTTTTAGTTAAAATGATTTGTTTTAAATTTTAAACTTTAATTCTATTGAATGTAAAAATATAATAAAACTTTTTACACTTCTATATAAATAAATAATTTTCGCTTTGGGAAATTCTTTATTTTCATGACCTCTCTGAAGTTTAAAAGCTATTTCTGACGCGTCATAAAATTTGTATATCTACCTCATACAGATTCGATCAAATGTCAATAGCGCGTTTCATAAAATAGACGTCAATGAATTGTGAATCGCTTCTGTCAATTGCGAAAATAAAACACACTTTTTTGTATGGTTATAATTAAGTGTCATGGTTATAATAGCACCACTAATCTATTACTGAAATTTATCTTCTATCTGAAAACAAAATTCCAAGTCGATATATTTAAAAAAATTACAAACATTCAAACAAAAAAAATTTCATATTTAATTTTAAAAAAATTTAAAAACATTAACAAACGGTAATTTGTTGCAGGAGGTTTCCGGGCCACCAGGTATGTGATCTACTCAAATCGTAAACATATCTTCAAATTGTAAGTACTTCCTTAAAATCTACAAATTTTATTATTTTAGATTAACATTCGAATCAATAAAACCTCGCAATGCATCACATAACCCAATAATTTATTTCGACTTTACTTTGTTTAAGAGTTTTGAATTAACTGAAACCGTATAAAATTTTAAAGTTAAGGAAACGCTAACGTCAAATGACAGTGTTTAAATGTTTTGCAAACATTAAGTGGATAATCAAGTATTAGAGCAAATACCTTTAGGTTGTCAAACAAGTTGCAGTGCTTACGGGTAAATAACTAAGTTTCCATGTTCGTACTACGTCTTAAATCGTTAGGTGAGCTTGTTACCTTCACTTTGGCGTTTCCCATGTTGCAGAGAGAGCCTAAGTTTAACGTTATCTTATATATTTCCCCACTTTAACCAACAAAAATTAATTCTTTCTTGAAGGAAATGATAAATTGATTTATGAAGTAACGCTCGGGTGAAAGCAAATTTAAGATGGAAGGCTCCCTTTTATGTTATTTATCAAAATCCGTCGCTATTCATACTAATTCAAGGAATATTCAAAATTGAGGATTATCTTCAATTTTTTATGCTATTAATAACATTTCAAAATATAGCTTCTCGTCGATATAGGTCGTACTTTTGTAGGCATTAATGTACATTGAAGAAAATAACACTTCACAAATCTACAACTGATGTAAAAAGTATAATTTAAAGGTATTTGGCGCCCATGAAATTTGAAAAATTAGTAAATAAAAAAATATTACTTTTTTAGTAACCTAAATAAATAGCACTTCACAATCTATTATAATTAAATTTCACTTTTAATGAGACTTGACATTTTAATAAAACAAGTAAAACTAAAAATTCTCTTTTGTTTTTTTAAAATTGATTAACTTTCTTTGTTAGTAAAGTATATAAAAATTAATAGAATCTTAATATTGTTTACTACAGCTATTATCTGGAGTCCATGAAAATTTAAAAACATAAATTCTCTTTTGTTTTTTGAAAATTGATTAACTTTCTTTGTTAGTAAAGTATATAAAAATTATTAGAATCTTAATATTGTATACTACAGCTAATATCTGGGGTCCATGAAAATTTAAAAACATAAATACTGATTTTACTTCCACTAAATATAAAAAATTCGAAATTCAATTATTAATTTATTGTAAAATTATATTATTAACTTTATTGTTAATTATTGCATGATGCGACCTGTGAGAAGCATCAATATTACATAACTTGACCTTGTTCATTTCAAGATATCAAGGTTAATTCCATAATTATTGTTACTTGCATTTCAATTAAGAAATAAATATTTAAATTTTTTTACATCCATCGAATATAGTGATATAACATTGTGAATAACAAACTCGTGGCTTTGCAATAGCAATGCTTTTAAGCGCCAGCAATTTGAAAATTAATTATTCTTTCACAGTAAACTGAATTATTAGCGGACACGAGGATAATCAAAGCTAAAAGGGTACCTATATGAAAAGCGAAGCTTTCAAATGTATAATGTGTTTTAATAACAACACAGATTCTAAAAGCTTTACCTAACTCTTTAAATAGATAATCTCTTGAAATAGCTGTACATTTTATAATTTCAAATAACTTTTAATTAACATTATGAAAATGATAATAAAAAATGTAAATAAAATGTTTTAGTATATTTATATGATAAATTAAAGAGTTATGTACTTTTGATTTCAATCAACTCTTCATAGTTATCGAAATTAAAATTTTGTAAGTGAAATTAAAATTCCATAAACCTTAAAGAAAGTACTTTGAATTATTTAAATTTTTCAATAAGCTTTTAAAACTTAATATCACCCAAAAAGAAGAGATATCAACTAAACGTGAATCAAGTGTGAGATAAAAGGAATTTTTTATTACGATTTTATTTTTTAGTATCCCATACATGAAAATATGCTTTACATTAGTTAACTCACTTAGTACCAATGGCAGAGTGCTTTTAGTGAATATCATAAATTCATGGGACCTATCATGTCTAGTTAAATGAAATTGGTTCTTGGGTTCATATGACAGATAATATAATTATTATAAAAAAGATCCTATTTGCCCAGAGTGGTAAAAAGATTGTTAGAAAAAAAAATTCGAAAATGTTTCTGCTTAGCAACAGTGATACATAATTTCATGAAACAATAAGGTAGCCACAATATTTTGTATGGGTCATTTTATGTTCCTTACCCATCTTTTCTTGTACTTTAATTGTTATCGCTGTGTAGAACAAATTTTGTTCTAGAATGTTTACTTTTAGCACGTCTTCAGTAGCACATAAACTCTTTTGATTTCAATTACAAGTCTTTCTTTGATTTTTTTAAATCAGTCTCCTCTTTATCAACTCTTCTGAGTCTTTCTAGATAAACGTAAAGTAATGGAGTTTCTCAATAGAAGACAATTATTTTATATCTTCTTCCTCGTTTTCTTAAATAAAATTTAAATCAGACTTTTAAAAGACTATATAATTTTATGTGAAATAGAAAGGAAACTCATTTCGAAAAATAATTTAATTTACTGCTGTTAAATTGCTTATAATTTTAGGTCTTTTAATTTAAAACACTCTGAGACATAATTTTTTTCACCAAGAAAAAAGCGTATTGGAATACGCTTCAGTAAAACAGTAGAAAATTATATTAAATTTTATGATTTAAAAGTTTCTCAGAATATTCATATAGAGAGGGTATTAATTACTACTTCATGTTGAAATAAGGGTATAATACCGGATTGTAGTAAAAAAAATTACTTAAACAAAAAAAGACATTTGTCCCTTTTGGTGAATAATGTTTCTATAAATGTAGCGTTTCTTAGAAGAGCATTTCATCGAATACCACTGAATAATTCATCATCAATAGAACGACCATCAGGGATCGATATTTATAAATGAATATATGATGGTATGTAAAGGAAATACAATTGTTTGAGGTGATGAAGGAAAGTTCCTGTGTAAAATACTCACGTATTCGCTATCGTTTTCTCACTTATTATAAAAAAGGTAAACTGAATAAACGTGTTGAAGTGGAGTATAAAAAAGAAATTTATTATCCTATTTGTTAGGCGTTAATTGATGCGATTGTAGTTGAATTCTTTGGCAAGTAACAGACCTGCGGGAAAACGTCATATTTTACAATATTAATCATATTTCGCGCAATAAATGGAAACAGTGGGTTGGGGTTGCTAAGATACAGAACTGGTTAATGGCACTATTACGTCTAGGCCGGAGTTGCAGCTCAGCCACGAGAGGGGATGATGTCGTCGCAACGTGCTACCAGCTGTGACTTATGACATATCACAGCAAGACCTCTACCGCCCCCGTCAAACTGAGCTGCACGTTCAATAACTCGTGATTTATCGGCGCGGCACGCTACGTTATCTTCTGCACTTGCTTTTTCTTACTGTAACAATCGCCTTATTTGTCCTTGAGCAACAGCAGCCCATGAAAATTGCAACAATAACGTTTTACATTTAAAAATTAAAAAAAAATTCAATCAATTATAAAATGACAGTTTGGAATTATTTCCATGAAAAAAAGGGATTTAGAGGTATTTGGCGCCCATGCAATTAGAAAATACATAAATGTATTACTTCCAAATAGTTGACATCCATAGCATACTAGAATCTGATAGTTTTTCTAAGGATATCAAATTGAGACAAAAAATGAATCAAAAGTTGCGAAGCAACATTTTGATTCCTTTTTTAATATCCTTAGAAAAAACTGTGTCAATTATTTAAGTTAAGAAAAAAGGAATTTAAATGTATTTGGCGCCGGTAAAAATTTTAAATACATAAATAAAATATCACTTCCAAAAGATGTAAAAAATATATTATATTACATGAAGAACTGAAATAAACGAAGCCATTAAAAAAAGCAATTTTTAAAAACTGTATTTTTAACAAATAAAAAACAATTTTTATTTGCCAATGAAATAAAAGTAAATTTTGTTAATCAAATTTGAAAATAATAAAATCCAATAAATTGAGATATTTGATTAACTTCTAGTTGCACGTAAACGGTTAAAATTCTTTAAATGCTTTGAAATAAATGCCAATAAATTAATTAAACGATTGAAAAGAAAATAAATTTTTTAATTGAAATATTATATTCATTTTTTTTTAAAAACAAAGATTAATAAAAAATTTTATTTTCAAAAAAAAATTTCAAACAAGTTTTTGTTCAATTAAATTCTCTTTGATAATACATTTTCCAATACAATATGGGTTGCATTTGTAGAAGGGAGTATTCTCAAATCTATATCACAATTTTGCCATGGTATTTAAATTTATCTCTAAATGTTAGTATGCAATTTATTTGCGCTTTCCTATCTCTATAGGTATTTTATATCCAATTTGGGAATGGGTTAGTAATCTGTGATTTTATATAATTAAAAATTTCTAAAATTACTGTATGTGGGTATAAATTTTAAATTAAAAATATTAACAGAAAAAAAAGTTTGTGAATGTTTGTTGTATACTGATTCTTAATCACCCAGCAGATTTCCTGCGAGTGTTAGACATCAGAATTCCGATATAGATCTTTAATAGAAACTTTTATGTTAATAAAAAATTCATAGTCATTTAGGAATCATGTTTACTTATCCTTTATTGTTAGATTCATTTCGTTACTTGTCGTTATATTTTTTAAATAGTAAATCAATCCGCATTTGATTGTACTCACCACATAACAAATTTATCATCAATGTTTAATTACCAGGGGCGCCAAATACCTTTAAATTACTTTGTAAGTTTGTTATTAATTGTTCACACAACAGATTAATTTTTTTTTAAAGTAGTATTTAACTACTAACAATGAATATTTAGAATAATTTTTCTTGAGTAATTTGTAATAAATTTCGGAAAAAATACTAGTGAAGCTTTTTGTAGAAAATTTTTTGATCACGTCTAACAGCTTTGATACCAAGTCTGACACTTTAGACATTCTATCTTTCTAGCCATC